GTTGCTTGAATAAAACTAACCAGACACATTCAATTTACCAGACTATTGAACAACTAGGAAAAGTGAAAAAAATACTTCTTATCGCCAGCATAAATGCGTAATTTTTTTTTACAGAAAAAGTAATTTTTCACCTTTGATTGAGTAACGCGTCGTAGAATGCAGATACGGGCATACAAAATACACTTGTGAAAAGCTTGAAGTCTAGCGATTCTAAAAATATATACTTTCCCGGGTCTATTTGTAGTCATTTAGTCACAATTAGAAGATGAACAAAAGTATGCAAATAATAGTCCCGCTACCTTAATTAACTGCCCGGCCTATTAAGAGACTACACATACCAAACTGTCGGGGATAACTGTCTGTTCACGACGTTTATATCGTAATTAGTTCCAATCACTGATCCGAGTTCCGTCTAGCACTTTGTATAAACCCTTAATGATTACAGGTAATGGGAGAGTGTTGAATGATATCAACTAGCTATTCACTAGAACCCAGCTATCAAATCGGTATCTAGGCACATGGAAATAAATTCATGACACTTGAGACATTTACAACCTTATATGGTATTTTCTCACAATGCTCCAATCCTTCTATTTCAGGACAACAGCATTTGGTTTCCTGACCGCTATAGCACGGATTGGCGGATTTCTTGGTAACGTCACGTTTGGCCGATATATTGGTGTCAACAAATCTATTCCACTCTTACTCGCAGCTTTCATATTTTTCGTGGGAGGTGGAGTCTCTCTTATATTACCGAATATCAAAGGCGTCTTGCTTTTGTAACTTTTTGTCTTATCCCGGAAAAGAAAATGAACAAGAACATAGCAATAATGACAAATTAATGTAGTGGATGCACAGTCGGTAAGCTTAAACAGCGTAATCCAGTAAGGCTTAATTATACAGTCGATAACAACAACTGACGAGTAGAGAAAATGTTCCACCTTGTCATTTGACCACAAGCATTCCAAGGATGAGTGAAGGAACGACATCAGTTTAGAATATTTAATATATGTAATCCATGAAATCGTGTTGGCCAGATATCACAAAAAGGTGTCAGTCTGATGATGCCATTCCCCTCTGATGCATGTTTAGGGGTTTTGGAAACAGGTGTATATTTTTAATAATGTCTAGGCATATGTGCTGTTTTTGTAACTCCATCAGTTGGTTACTCGATACACATTTTACATAACTTATTTTATTTACAATTTTGTATGATTTTTAATTTTGTTCTCTTTATTTTGATTGTTAGTGTTAGTTGATGGGTTCGTTCATTTGTCATGGGAATGATGGAACTATTAAGTTAATTGTGATATATTTTTTTCAAAACAGACACCTTTTTTACATTAGGGAACTATTAACTTTTCACAGCTTTCCGCGAGGTCAAATTGGTACCAATTATTTAGTGAGTTGTATGGCGTAATAAAGTCACAATATAGTACTTGATTAGGAAAGAAGAGTTAGAAATTATTCATATAGTTTATGTTAATTACGCAAGTAAAGACAGGTACACTAAATATATGAAACCACATGTGATGTCTGTAATTTTCTGCTGCCCAGAGTCAGTATGTGATAGCCACCATTGATAGCAAATCTACTGGCCTTAAAGCTAATTGCTGCAGTGACGAGGTGCTAGACAGTAGTTAAGTTAGTGTGATGCTGGAACATGAACTGGATAATTTGCATATGTGTGACAATAACCACGTGATGTCAACTGGCCGGCAAATAAGCACGAACCGAAATGAATATACTTGCCACACACTGGTTTGAAGAAAATGCATGTTTGGCTCGAATTAAATGTATAATATGAATTAGAAAATAGATACTCGTTTTACACAGGTGACAGAGTGCACAGTACAGTGTAGTGGTTCGGAACACTAAATCTCGGGAAAAACAACTTCAAACAGATTTAAATGTGTCATGTTGTTCGATTTGGTGAGAGTTTGATAAACATATTATCGATTGGCGATAGCTTCGCTGGTGTGGTGCGAGAAAATATTCTGCTTTTGTCGACTTTTATTCGCGATGCCATTTGTCGTCGCGCGTTTGTGTTACACAAGTCTACGGGAGGAACCATAGCTCTTCTGTATCGATAAACAACCTAATATCTGAAATTAACCCACACTTAATGTGAAACAGAAATGTCATATTATTTCAGAATTTTATTTATTATTTCTATTTAAACCCGTTTTGATTGTTAGGACAAATTGTTTGGAAGTTTGGGGTCTTTGAATGTATACCCTTAAGGAAGAGACGAAATATATAATTATATGTTAACAACTTCGGAAAATGCTCTTTTTGTTCGGTACTTTGCTTTTTATACAAAGGTAGCATTGCACCGGAGAAGGTTATACTCACATGGCATATCCAAACGGTCTGTTAAAATTATTCTTAGAGCAGATATTGTTGATCGATTGTTTGTTAATGACACATATACGTATTATACAATAATAGAATGCCATCATTTTGTTGTCATCTGCACATTAGTTTAGGGCTACATAAAACACGAATCGAGTTGCAGTTTGTCAAGTTATTTATTTATTGCTCAGATCAATAGGAAAATAATCAAATTACAGAACTGTTAGTATTTACGAAATGAAAAAAAATACTGGCTTACTTGGCGATGTGGATAATGCATATTAAGGACAGAAAACCTCACACGTGTCCGACAGTTGTTACCTTTACGATCTGATAGGACGCCTTTTTTTCTAAACTAAAACATACATCTGTCCTGATATGAAGCGAATAACGCTATCCAATGTCCACATGATATCGATTCCAAGTTAGTTAACGTTTTTTTTGTGGAGGACGGGGTATTCCTTGTATTTTCAAATAGCAATAGAGCTGTGCTTTTGGAACTTGTTCATCTCAAAACAAGAAAATGGAATGAATTGTTCACATACAATATAGAACCCGACACAGTATATTTCAGTAAGACAAACTATATACAGAATGGCGTATGAATCTAGACGAGTTTCATGGATACTTTGAATGGCCATCAACAACGTTTATGATATTGTGAGTTCATAGTACCATTTTGTAGAGAAAACTCATAAGATTGTTTTAACACTGCATTTTTACTAGTAATAACCATATGAAATTATTATAATTTGGCGGCTTAATACTGAAGAAGATTCTCTGGAAACAAACGATCTCAGCACCTCAATATTATTTCATTACGCGAGTGTAGCAACGGCATTGCAAAGTTTCAAACGTTCTAAGTATAGAACAATGCACACGTGGAAATGCATTGGTTCAGATAGAGACTTACATGAAGTCTGCATGCCCGTGTAAAGTATAATATCTGAGGGATACACAGCACGAGTACATTATTTCATTTACAATACGATAACTGCGCCCAGAAATTGTGTGGATTTAAATGTGTACACATGCTTCGTTGTTGATTACAAACTTGGTATTTGGTATTTTTCATAAACATATGACAGCCAGATGACACAAATTGACGCCAGTGATTACATTGTATCTAGATGGTGAGAGGGCAATATCTAAATAATGCTTCATGGGCAGGGCAACACCACTTGACATTGTAGGGAGACGCACATCATGTTAAGCCACACTAAATACCCACAACACGACTGCACGAAATAGCGTGTAATGCACACGGACTGACAGTGACTAGATGGAAATGCATGAGTAAAATCTCCGAAGTTACAAACATAAACATGTCGATTTCTAAAAAAAAAGTCCAGATTATGTAGGAGGCTGCTATATATGTTGCCAACATTTACATGTAGTCACGATGCCGCTTATTCAGGTGTCAGTTCTTATCACCACCATGAATTTTATGCAGACCATTTGATCCACGTATGCTTGTAACAATGCACCCGAACTTTTCTTCGGGATCTCAAATGGTCTTGACATTGGCCAAATTGCTGCCATATACATCTCAGAAAAAACACTATCTGGATTCATCAAACAAAATAGAAAAAAAAATATTGTGATACGACATTCCGGTTCTAGTAATTATATAAATTGAGTTGAAACATAACATAGAAACGGATGAATCATTAGCGGAAATTATTGTATCTATGACAGTGAAGACAGTGTTAATTTATTCTCAACATTGCAAAATAAAAGTTCGATTCAGTAATTACACGACTACAGTATTCCTATGAGTTATCCCAATTCGACAACTTTAATAACATTAATATACAAATATATATCAACAGCTGTGCACCGCTAAACGTGTTAATATATATTAACTAATCCTCCAGCAGTTACATGATTGTGGATACCAATATATAGACACTACTGATTATCGAGTAGTTTATGCAACAATACTATTCCCACATACTCCATAGTTAACATATAATGGCAAAGTTAAAACTCGCATGCGCATTATTCACGCTTTGTGGAATGACTTTGCTGTTGGTCGTGTTAAGCGTGGTTTTTGATACGAAGTTTTATAACTCAATTGGTTTTAATGGGCTTAAATATTTCACCATGACGACTAATAGCAGCATATCAGTGGAGCCAGTTCCTCTAAGCCAATTGGTAAACACACAGGTGAGTTTATTTTCAATTTATTTATATTTAAACTCGAACATTATGTTATAATATTATTATTATTATTATAGCTATATATACAACGCGTGTAAAATAAAAGCTGCTTTCTTACAAGACATTCGAACAAAAAAAAGTTTTGTTGTATTTTAGGTGGGAAATGTTACAATGAGCATGGAAAACGTACTGATAAATGAGGATAGATATGTAAATCGAAGTGCATTGCATGAACCAGCACGTCATTTACTTCCTATTGTATTCTACAACAGTATGGGTCCTAATTCTATTTATCAAGGAATTCGATTTGCTATTAATTATGCTATTCACGAGAACAGGAGTATAGTTGAAGTTCCATTCAACGCCCATGGCTCTGCACGCATAGCTGAAGGCATGTCGAGAATTAAGACATTTCGTGATACATTTGATGTACATACACTGTCCAGACTGCTACCAGTGTCGACGATTGACGATTATAGACGAGACTGTGGGCGTGACATACATTTAAACAATTTGGTAAATTTGCGTGGTACGAAAGGCAGTGATGTGTATGGACATGACGACCCAGAGGTTGTTGAAGACATCTTAGGTATTAGGCTTCCTGCAATTCCTGATTATAACCTAACGTCTAAGAGACTCGGGAAACAGTTTTCAAGTTCAGTGGACATACCATGTAAAGCAGTGTTGCTAAGAGACGCATTGAAAGTATACGATATGGTACCTAAGTATTATATAAAGAGCTACAGAAAAATCGACAAATATCTGATCCGGTCGTTGTATATTCGTGAAATGGCAGATCATTTGAGCAGAGTGTTGTGTGATGGTGATGATTTTGTTGTATTACATTGGAGAGCAATGGTTGATGTGTGAGTGAATTTTATCTGTTTAACAAAATGTCCGACAGAATGTCATGGATGTCGTATTTAATATGACATTTCCTGTATTAGACGTCTACATAGACAATGGGGTTAATCTGAAGCATATTATGATTTAATTAATTCAAAAAATTACCGTAGTAGATGGTAATTTTGCATATAATTATAGTCAAGGATGAGAAAACTTATAATACTATAATTCAGATAAAAGCAAAGACAAAAACAAAACACAACGAAGTTATGCCTAGTTTAACACGCAATATTTTACTAATTCGACTGATACAGCAGCTCATACTCAATTACATCAAAACTGATTTGTATTTGTGAATGAATTCAACACTGTATTGCTAAAAGCCCGATCGTTTATTTAGGCGAGAATCGATTGAGTCT